TACATCAAAATAAGCAGTGTACAGATTTAACCATTTCAATCAAAAATCCTAGTTCCACTGAAGTTGTTTCAATCTTCTGGTATATGAAGGTTTTCTTACAACTTTTTTTCATACTTCTTTTAGAATCAAGTTTCACCTGCAATCTTTCAGCAAGAAGCTGGCATGCCAGCAAATAACAGGTCATTAATTAATTGAAAATGAAAGCATTTGCTTGGTCATCATCTATCTAATGGCCACCTTGCACTGTAAGTAACTGTGTGACTTGAAACCTAAAGGAATTTTTCTGTGTTGGTCCTGGTCATAATCAAGAAACTTGAGAGAGCAACACCACCACATTAGTTGTAGCAATTTGGGATCCTATTCTCTACACAGCACGTTCGACATTCCATATGTAACTCATGACAGTGGTTAACAGATCTCTGGAAGCTTTAGGATCTTTCATAGTGTGGCTGTGTCGTGTGTTTTGAATCTTCTGCGTACAGATCCTGGAGGCATGCCAAGCCACGATAAGCAATGGCGAGGTGGAAGAAGTAATTCACTGGGTACAGGGTACTGAGAACAGAGAGGACAGGGAGGTTGGTGGTGATGACTATTGCTTCTGCTGAAACTGGATTTCCAAGCACAGGCAAAATGGTGCATGTAAGAGGTTGTTCTCAGTTACAAAGGAGCAAAAGGAGGCCCTTGTCCTTGAAATCAATGGAGCTTCTTTGAATTTACTGTCACATAAACAAAGCGGTACCTGTCTTTCAGATTGTACTTCCTGCTGTGTAGGCTGAGCTGGCTTGGGGACTTGGGGGAGGCATTTTATTATCCTGTTGTCTCCTCTCCTATAAGAACACAGTTCTTTGTTTTAACATGATATTTTAAGAAGGAAATATTATTGCTTGTGATACATCACACAAGCCAAAGATCACATTAGCTCTAAATTACTTTTGGCTGAGCTTGTATTGGTCAATGCAGTCTTTAGGACTTCAGGGTGGCACTGATGCTGTTGGTTCACTCACACAACAGTACATACGTGGCTATCAACGTAAAGGCCTTGACAGACTCAGCCTGAGGGTTCTTAAATGCATTACAGGATCCAGAAAGAAACAAGATTAAAGCTGGGTAAAACGCATAGCCCAGGGACCAAACAAGCATCTGCAGTGTTTACTGAGAGCAAGGACTCAGCAACGCAAAGGTAAAAGGTCCTGCAGTGCTGTGGAGACTCTCAGAAATGCAATGACTTCCCACTGCAAAAAGCTGCAGTTTAGCTGCTCTGATTTCTGCCCTGCCTACAATGAGGGAACAAAGAGGAGAAAACTGCTGTAGGAGTGATTTCAAACTTCAAGGGGTGAGGACAGTTTTAGACAGAACATGAATGGGCCTGAGGATCAAGCCTAGAAATTAGGCAAGCTGGCTTAGATACCACAGGAATTGCCTTGAATTTTCACCCCAAGGTCATAACAAATGATATGAATTGCTCAAAGTACCTCAGTGACCTTCTCTTCTACCCCCATGCAATTTGACTCCCATTATTTCTATTATCTGAACATTTCTTTGAATTGCATTCCTCAGATAGGACAGGGAGCAGAAGAGATAGAAGATGTTCCATCATTTCATGTCTAGTGAGAAGTAGGAAGTAACAAAATTCTGGAAGAAACCTACAGCCACAAGATTTCTAGCCTAACACCCACACACTTACTTGACATTCTTTGCATCCAAACTTCAAGCCATGCTCCAATCTGAACCTGGTATCTAGTAGCTTTTGTGTTACTAAAAACAGTAGGTACCCTGGGAGGAAATGTACAACTGCCTTAGGGAACTACATCACCACCTAAGCATTGACATTCCTGTGGAAAGTCAGCCAGAAGACCATTGTCTACACCTGCGTACGCATCCTACCACAAGATCAACGACCAAAGAGCAATACTGAAAGCACTTAGAAGTAAAAGGCGGCTCCACATACAGGCAGGAAAGGAAGATACAGATATTGAAGGGAACACTTCAAAGGATCTTCAAAGAGGACATAAGGGTCTTTTTGGAAATTATACCTTTGTGACCAGCCCAAGCTCACACACGACATCTGTAACAGAGCTAGACACAACCTTTATAGCTAAAGCACAACCCACCATCCTCTCATATGGGCTCATTCCCTCTGTCTCATTGTCCTGAGACTCCTGTCAGTGCTCCTGCACTTTTCTTGCTGTATGATGCTCAGTACATAAAATATCAACTTGATGGCAACTCTCGGCCTACACTGCACACTGTATTATCAGCCTCCACTCCCAGAGCTTGCTTCAGAAGAGAGTTCAGGTACCAGCAGCTGCCCAGCTGCGGCAGCACAGAGTGGGCAAATACATCCAGTTTTCAGGCAGGCTTTGAAGGCTGTGTGGAGCTTTTGACCGTGCTGACCAGACTGCTGTTGGTATCAGAGCTAACACCACCCATTCATGTATTTCAACAGTGCACTGCACGTAGCAAAGTGAAACAAGTGGGAGAGGAAGCAAAAAGAACAAACCCCTGGGCTTACTGACAAAGTAAAGGAGGCATATACCTCTACCTTAAGAGGGGTGGTATTTCAAATTGGCAGGCAGCTAGCTAGCCCTAAGTGAGGGGAAACAGCTGCACACAGCGCTGAGGGTGGTGGTTACAGCAAGTGCTTGTCTCTCCTGTAGTCATCCCCCATTTTCACGGTCAGCCCTGCTCCCCCAGGTAGGCTGGAGGTTGCAGCCACCTGAATCAAATCAGGAAGCGAAGCTGGCAAGGAGGAGGGAAGGAAGCAGACTGAAACAGAAATGCACGTGTAGAGCCCAAAACAGATACTGTGAATGTGTGGGCAAGCCTGGGAGAGGGAAGAGACAAACATCTGGGAGACAGTGATGGGAAGGGGAGGAAGGGAAATCTCGCATCTGTTTGGCCCACGCCACTACAGTTAAGGTGGAAAGAGGAACTGAGGGAGATGGGAGAATGAAATAACATTGACCATACAAGACTGACATTACTAACTAACTAAAAATCTTGTTTTTAAAAAAAGGTCCAATGCTGTACTCTTTCAAAAGGGCAATGAAAATATTACTGAAAAAGCAAAGCTATGTTACTTCAAACCAAGCCTATATTAACTAGAGATGGATGTTGAGGTTACCACGTGCTGGACTCAGTCAATTTGGACATTTTGCTTTGATTCCTGCCAATTTTTATATGACCACGACACCAAAAGAACCTGTCTTACAGTTTAAAAGCACTTTTTACTTTAAGAAGAGGCTCCCTCTGGTTCTTTCTTTTACCAGCTTCCAATTGAAATCCAAGTTACAGTTAACAGCTCAAGGTAATTGCTTTCTAGAGCTTGTTTTGTTTTGTTTGTAAGGGACTTGGGAAAAGATCTGAACAAAGGCTTTGGTGGAAAAAAAAAAAAGGAATCATATTGCATTTAGCCACATCTAACTGAAATCTGTACTCGTTTGAAATCTCTGCTGTCTGAAAATGTTTCTCAGACCAGACAATTACCTGCTGGACCAGAAATGGGGGCAGTGTTGAGTTGGAGATTTCCCAGAAGCTTTTGTTCCCATCCAAACTTCTTCTGGCTGCCTCTACTGGTGAGCAAATTGCTTGAGTCTGGAGTGGTACCTTGAGGTGGCTTCTCTCCACTGACTAGAAAACAAGAAGTCATAGATTGGTTTATCACTGAGGGTGGCTGAGTCAGTACGTAATCCAAAACTGAAGCTAAATTAAGGGCTGCAGGCTTTGCTGTTGAGAATAAGAGCTTGCAGTCACAGGATATGACACTATTAAAAGGAAAGGGCAGGTTGACTTTCCATCGCTGTTATGGGAACTGTGACAAAAGAAAAATAAACAGGAATGAGTGGTGGGCAAAACAGCAAGTGAATGAAGACACAAAGCAGAAATACAGAATACAATCTTTAGCAATTGTTAGAAAGTTTCTCTTTTATCCAGTAAAAGTATGCGCAATCTTTTTTAATTACAGCTTAATTTTAAGATGTCTTTAGAATACCAGAACCTGTGGTACGTTGTACTTCTGCACAGGAACCAAGGGGTATTACTGCATAAGTGGGAAGACTCATACCCCAGCCAACGCAAATTAACACAAGACAAAATGAAACATTCTGACTGCTGATGGATGAAGAAGCGGCTTAAAGGTTTTCAGTCTGAACAGGGCTACAGAGGTTGTAGCTTCCAGCCTAGGAGATGAAAGAGCACCCTAAAGTTCTACTGCTCAACCCAAGGTAGAAGTTTCATGTGTTCAGAGCAGCAATCCTCCACTCCTCATAAGTTGTTGATCTGAGGTATAGAGTGACAGATCATTGAACAACATTTACAAATTAATCAATTCACTATGCATGAGACTATGAAAGATGAGCCAGACACAAATGTTCAATAAAAATCTAAAGCGGGTGAAATCTGGCAGCAGAGGTACAGACTGGGCACATTCCAGAGGCCAGTCAATCACTAAGTCTGGATCAGAATCCAAATTTTTCCCAGGAGTAGGAGAGAGTGAAGATCCTAGTTTCCGATTCAGACTTAAATGCATGTCAGCCCAAATAAAATAACCTTGTTCTAATTTAACTGAAGTATTGTGCCCAATGTTATTACAAAGTTAGTGTCAATCACAGGATGCCTGCCTTTTCCTAGCCAGAGTCCAACTGTCATTCATTCTGATAACTGTCACACAGCAAACCAGGTCATGTGGAACTCTATCATCACAGATTGGCTTTTGCATCAGCCTGGGTGGATAGGTGATGCTACTGTCTCAGCTGGAAGCTGACTGTCCCACACCATATGTCTTACCACCCATTTACTGCCAAACTTGGAACTCATTCCCTGGTCAGCTCCACTAATAAGGTATGCATCTGAACGGTCCCCTCTATCTAAGCAGTTATTTCTGGAACATACCTTTACCTGTGAAGACATCCAATCCCTTTCCCACAGTTTCAACCCCTTTCCAAATTTCAATTACACAGCAAATAAAAGACAAGTTATTTGCAGATAAAAGGAAAACTTACTTGTTAAGTAACAGTCCAGACTAAGGGAGACATTGTCAAAAGCAATAATGGCATCAGATCCTTCTTCCCATGAAGCGATGAACTGAAACCAAAACCTGCATAGATTGTAAGAACAAGGATTAAATTCTGTTAAAGAGATAAAACTCAGAGCTCTTTGCAATTAAAGCAGTTTTAGGATGGAGGAGAAAAGCTTTTCTTTTCACATATAAAAATATTAAATTGACAGAGAAAGTATCCTCACCCCTAAGAAGCAAATATGATCTGAGGTGGGGAGCTGTACATGAATATAGGCAGACAGAAAACCGGAATATAGCCCCTCTTCCCTCCAGAGGCATACAACCTGAAGCAGGTGTGCATGTGCGTGTGTGTGGACAGAAAATAAAGTCCCCTGGCTTCTGGCACAAAAAAAAAAATCAGACACTTAAGTGATTATATTCTCACAAGTGATTTACACCCTAAAGAGTTACGAAAAATAAGTAGGCTGGGGCTCCTGAAGCAATTTGGAGTTTCTAAAAGGAACTGGCAATCAAAGGCTGAAACCAATTTAGAAAGTATTTAGTGTTGATCCACCCTCCAGGAAGCAAAGAATATCTAACAGTCCTGGCAGTCACAAAAGAGAGGAACTGACACTGGGTAGTCCATAGGAAGAGCAGAACTCATTATCTCCTTGTAGAAGTTGAGCAGGTTTGCCTTAAATCACTTCCACGCTCTCAGCTGGCTTTTGCCAGGAAATTCTGCCACACCTACATTACCAGAACTAAGATCATTATAAATTCACCCTCAGTGATATTACATGTCAACAGGAAGAGCAAAAATAACCCACAACCAAATACTTAAAATCTGATAGTATATTGACCATGCATTAATTTAGTGCACTCATGGATTTAGATTTTCTCTTAGCTTAGCAAGTTGATGTTCTCCTGATGCATATCTGCCACATAAAATCACAATACTCTGCTTAGAAAGGAGAACAATTTCTAAAAGCAGCCAACCGTGGCCCAGAAGTCAGATACAACGCTGAGAAGTTGCATCAAGACAATAAAGACATGAAACAAGCCACAAGAGAATACAAAATATTATTTAAACTTCATTTGCTGTTCTATCTTAATGTTTTACACCAGTGGAAGTTAAGCCATTCATGGGTCTCTTTAATGTATATCTATTGCCGATGGTTCCTGCTCTATCTTTTAGGTATAAGTGTTTAGCCAGAATGTGAATTCTTGCAGGTGTTCCAGTTTAGATGAGAAACTGATGACAGAACAAGGTATTTTTGAGGAGCAGCCCTGTTTCTTTAGAAAGCCTGTAAAAATCCTGTCCCTTCACTGCAGCAAGAATCTAAACACCAGCAGAAATTTTTTTCTTCTCATGGACCCTAGTCCTTTATGCATAGTACTACTTTCCCTCAGCTTTCTGTCTGCTATCAGTACTCTTACATTAGTCTTGTTGCCACCTACTGTTTTTAAAATCTACCCCTCCTTTACCAACAAACCAACTCACACAACAAAATTCAAGTGAAGCTTCTCTGCTGTTATGTGTATTTACTTTGGGACAGCATGTTCCCATGTTTCGAACGAGGGTTTTGACTGTTTTGGCCTCCTGACTCTGTCACCAGACCTAACCAACTTCCATGCTGTTCTCAAATACAGCGCAGCTTTCACCACCAGAGATGACAGTGAGATTTGGCATAAGCTAAACAAGACCCCAGGGATATATGTGCCTTTTGAGGATATCTAGATTGAAACGTTGTCGTCTTCTGCAGCTGGTGTTCTTGGTGAGCTACGGAGGGGGACACAGAAAAGCTGACCCAACCAAAGCAAGAACTTCAAACAGAAAAAACTCCTGGCAGCCCCTAAGAGGTGCAAAGGGTTTAGAACAGAACACAGTCCATTCACAGTAGAAAAGAGTTGATATAGTTACTGTGTTTCTCCTCCTTTATTTCTGGTAAAGCAAAACAATGATGCTTAAATACTGAAATTCCTCACTCCTTGGAGATACGCACTGGACATAGAGAGAGACTTTTCTAAAACAGACTTTTTATGTTCTAAAGACATGAGCAGCTGCTATGAAAGAGCAGGTGATTGACACAAAGAACAGTGGATACGGTGAAGGAATAGTATCCCTAGCACCAAAGGAAACTCCAAACAGCAGCACATTATTTTCCTTGCTAAATGATCCATCTTTATCAGCTCAAAAGGTAGCAGCTCCTTCCAAACAAATCTGAAGATCACAAAAGTCTATTTTTTGCCTTCCCAATCCATATAAAGTGCAACTGCAGTCTGACATTGCCAGAAGCCTCACGGTTCTTAGTTGGTATACCTGAAACCCACTGTGGGTATGTCTAGGAGGAGAACTGGAAGGAACATAAACTTCTTGGATATTAAACTGGCTTCCAACTACACTGGCCGTCCTCTCCCTGCTTGCTCCACAGCTGACATCCCACAACACTTCAAATGAAATTGCAAGCTCTAGCATAAACATAAGCTGTTCAGTTCAAGGCATGCCATGTGAGTCTTAAACAAAAGCTCTGATCTACTTTTTCCCCTAAGTTACTGTGCCAGCAGCAGAGATGACTGAGCTATATGTAAAACAGGTCCTGAACCACCACAGGTCACAGTCTGGTATGTTATGGAGAACCAGCACCTACCTTGGGCTGTAAACTACAGGTCATAGCTCAGCAGAAGCTTCTCCCTCCCTGTTGCGTGCTGTTGAAACCTCCAGGAAGAGGTAAGGTGGAAGCAGATTCAGCTACACGTCTTTCAGTTGGCTGTGTCTGAAAATCAATGCTTTGCACACAGTGAACCTTGGTGCTACACTGAAGGGACCACTGGAACTGAGTCTCTGATGCATTTGATCTTGGGCCTGTTTCCTGGGGGTGCACATAAAATGCCACTTGGACATGTGGACATTTTGGTATGTGTTTATGTTTGTAAGGTGCTAAATGATGCTAGGAAATGAATTACAGACAAATAAGCAGTTCCTCCATGTCAGCTTTTCCCTCCACTTCTGCAGACTTTAGCTCAGGTTGCATAAGAGAAGAGACAGATAGCTCTGCAAAGACTGCTACACACCTTCTTTGTACCTCCAGGTGACTAAATACTTCTGAAAACAGCTTCAGGTAGTTTCCTTGGCAGAACCTAAGCTTCATGCCCCAAGATGTTATCATTTGATGCACTGTTCATGTCATGCTTCTTCAGACAATAGAGAGTTGTTCTTATGAGCACTACCGCATGTTCAGCCTCTAAGAACAGGAAAGGATGACACAAACCAGTATTTCTGACATTGAAGGGAGCGCCATCTATTGTGCCCGTGTAAGAACATAATGGATTGCTTTTTACTTTTATTTACAGTTCATTCAAATTAAGAGACAACCTTGCTGAATTCACCTGCAGGAGCCCTGGGACCAGAACACTTGAACGAGAACAGAACAAGTTTCCTGAAGTTCACCGGGGATGAAAAAAATGACAGAAATGCCTCCCAAATACAAAAATCATGTGAATGTTAAACACTGTTAGGACCATCAGTGCTGCTCTGGTTGCCTATTAATCTGATCTTTTTTCCTAACATGAATGCAGTTTCAGTACAAACCTTCTCTTGAGACCACCATTTCCGCAACAAATAGTTCATCTTTTTATCTTCTCCAGTTTAATGCCACTATTAATTTAGAAATATGATGTCTCTCAAATTCCATTGAAACAAGATCATCAGTTAACCAACATTTCAATCATTAGCTTTGGTGGTTTTAGCTTAATGGGCTAATTAAAGGAAATTTAATCAAAACTGAAGATGGGAATGTCACACATCAGTGAGATGGAAAAAACTCCACAGACAATCTCGTTCCCTTGCCCCCCCTTCTTTTTTTTTCTTTCTGTTTGATCCCTGAAATTAATGAAACAACTGCCTTTGACTTTTGGTGGAAGCTGATACTGAAACACCAGAAGCATACGTCATTGCAGTGAGTCAGTAGAACGCTGGAGGTGACAATGTCGCACTGATACCTTTGCACAGATTGAGGCGGGGTACACTGAATGCGCATCCAGTACTTCAACTGGCACCTATGCAGCAGAGATACTGGTCCTCAGCACTGTGTAGACATATTCACTGCAAACAGACACTGTGGTGGATGGCCATGAAAGAGTATTCCTGAAGGCAATTACACAGGAGCAGCAAAATGAGTGCTGGCAAGTTTGTCATGACTTTGTTGCTTAATAAATCCCAGCAACTTCCTCACATGGAATTCATATCCTCATCAGATACCTCTGTGTATGTAAGTTAGATTTCTTCACAGGAATGAAAACACGGCTGCTATGAAAGGCTTTAATGGCTTGGATATTAGATAAATCATTACTTGAGGATTGGTGGAAATGACTTCTTATCTGTCTCTTCTTTTGCCCTACTTGACCTCAGGAGCACAGCTAGTAAAAAAGTTCCTTAGATGTATAACAATTGGGAACTACAAGTTATGCCCTGCAGAGTTGAGTGTCAGCTGAGCTGTGAATCCAACTCATGCAAAGGCCTTTTTTTTTTTTAAAAAAAAAAAAAATCTGTTTGAGGCAGATGGGAAATGCTGTACCAGGTGGACAAAAAAAACCCTAATTCAAATCTCCCCTTCGGGGAACATCAGCTCAGCTGTCTGAAGGATACAAGTTTTACATAAATTTAAAAACCACTCAAGGGTGACTACTAATCAAATATTTCAGTCACATATAAGAAATGGCACCACAAGCATAACAAATAAGCTTTTGTTTGTTTCTTTCTTTGGCCCAATCTGTGAAATCTGAATCCAGATGAACAGTTCCTTGAAAGGTAGGACCAAGCATATTCCAACTCAGCTAAATCTGATAGAAACAGGATAACATCAAAGCTTCTGGGCTGTAATCTTCCCCATTCCTCAAGCTCTTTGAATCTTGGGGTTTATTTCAGTGTGGTCAGTGTTTAAGCTTCATCACATCATCCTGCATTTTCTGTTCAGTTGCTTCTTTTTGCTTACTTATTTTTTTCTTGATCCTAACAGAAGACTGGTTCCCCTCAAAATATCTGGGCCTTATTTACAGAGGAAAATACAGAGCTAAAAATATGAAAATACATCTATAGTTAT